GTTATGTGAACTTTGTGGTGACGTCTGGTTCTGATGCTGACACCCTCTGCCCTTGCTCTTTTCCATGACCGTGGTAGCTAGACCTGCATTTCGGGAGATACAGACACGGACTACCTGTAGCAGTGGGGGTCCCCAGGGACCACTCTTCAGACAGCGGTGAGCCTCAGATATCTGCACACATCATTTGAAATGTGCAAGGAGGCAACTCTCCTTACTGTTACTTTTTTTGGTTCCATCGCCATCATCATCGTCAATATGATGTTGAAGATCGCAGATAGGAAGTAAGCCTTGCCTTAAGACAGGGCTGGGCCCGGTCTTTCTACCTGAGACCATTTAGAAAACAATAAAGTGCTTCTGAGCGACTTTTTCTCTATCAAAATGAAAATGGCTATACCGAGTCCTTGTTTCCAGTTTGGGATAGAGAATCATCTCTGGGGACCTGGCGCAGCTCCCCAGACGTGGCAGTTGGAGGCTGAGAAGCATCTCTGGGCGGCCACTAGCCTTCCTTGCAATTAGCTCAGGCTATGCCATGGCATTGCCCACTCACAGGGCTCAAAGGGCACCTGCCACTGGGGGCAAGGGAAACCCCGCCAGGTGTGATGTAGGGGAGGGACAGATCCGAAGTGCCTTTCCCAGAGCTGCCAGGCTTTCTTCTTCTACTGGATACGAGCTCCATGAGGCTGGACAGGCTCTTGTTTACCCATGCCCCTGCTTCTGCTACGGCCATGAGCTCGCCATTGCCCGTTTATACCCATAAATATTATTTAAAATATGTTTAGTGAGATAGATTCTGAGTAATAAAAAGAACTCTGAAGAAGATGCCAGTGAGCCCTCTCCTTTCCCACTTTTCAAATCAGGAGCCCGGGGCCAGGGAGGGTAGGGAGGCCCACAGTCATCTGGCAATTACCTGCAGAGGCCAGATAGCCTTCACAAGCTGTAGCCAGGGAGGGGGAGCCTTCCCAGGCAGAGTGTAAAGCCCCCAGAATCAGAGGCAGTGCAGGACGGGGGGGGACGTCCGTGGCTCCAGCAAGGGTCCCCGTTGGGGAACCCAGCGACCAGGAGAGATGAGGGAGACCAGACCCAAGGGGTGGGATGGCGCTGCCTTGGGTCAGCACTGGTGTCTTAATGTGGGCTTCTGAGGAGCCCTGTTCTTGACAGGGCTGGAGGGGAAAGGGTGAACTCCTGCAAAAAGTCTCAGGTAAAAGAGCCAGGCTCATAGGAAGAGTCTGGGAGGCGTTCAGACACCAGGCCTGGGCTATCAGACCAAAGGCTGGGGGTGGTTTTTAGAACCATGCTCCAAGGTCAGCCTGGGCCCTGTGGAAAAATGACCTTGATATCCAGACGTTCAACCCACTGAGTGGGCTCTTGAATTCCTTTGGGCTAAGAAAGGCCCAGCCCAGCCCTGGGGTCTACAGCCTCAGCGCAGAGGTCATTCTCACCCAGGCCTGTGCACCCAGACTCATTTACACAGCTGCACCAATGGTGTCTTTTGGAAAGTCAGAGAAGGCCTTGGAAAATAAGTGCTGTTCTAGAAGAAGCCTGAAAGGATTTCAGGAAACAATCTTAATAGTGATTACCTCAAGGGAAGGAAATCAGCCTTCGGCAAGAGCTGGGGGCTTTTTAATACTTGAAGCTTTTTATAATGTGCATGTATATTTTTCTTATGATGTACATACATTAATTGTAAGAAAAAAATTATGACAAAAGAATACTATTGTTAATGATGATAAAAAAAAACTGCACAGATACTTTTTAAGTTGAAAGACAGGACGGGGCTCAAACCACAGCCTAGTAAATACATCTACTCTGCTTCAACACCCCTGGCTGGGCACAGGGACAAGAGTCGTGTGTCACTGGCCACAGCCAAAAACAGCAAGGGTGAGGGGAGTGTACAGGCCGGGGCTGGGGGAGGCGGAAGGTAGCTAGGCGTTCCTCCCACCTTAATAACAAAGTGATGGAGATCTCTTTTAGAAATTAGGCATGTGCAATGAGCAGAAGGATATGAAGCAAAATACTAATTATAAAAACAATGATGTATCACACTTACATTGTACTTACTATATGCCAGGAGTTGTTTAAGAATTTCATACACAATAGTTAATAAAATCCGAATGACAACACTATGAGGGAGGTACTAGCATTGTCTTCATTTGAAGAAATCGAGGCCCAGAGAGGTTAAGTAACTTGCCCAAGGTCACACGGCTAATACCCATTGGAGCTAGGGTTACACTGGTGGTCTGGCTTCAGAGTCCACACATATTTCTATATCTCTGCGATATATGTCCAAAGCATGAAGCTTCTCAAATCCTTTTATTTGAAGAGCTCATATGAGAGGAGAGAAAATACAATCCACAGATCCAAACAGACAGGCTTGACGTTTAAGTTGTCCCATGGTCATATTCTCACCACAAAGAATTCCTTCAATTGTCATTAACGGTGACAAGGCCAAAGCAGAGGCAAAAAGAGAGATTCCCTTCAGTCAAGCTTCAGAGAAGTGGTGAAGGGGCAAGAGGGAGAATCAGATGGAGTGATGGGACCTAAGATCCCCCGCTGGAAGCATCCAGCTTTGCTAAGAGTGCTGTAGGGCCTGGAGGAGGAACAGACCCCCTTTCACATCTTATCTGCAAGAAGCAGTGTTCTGTGTTTATTTTGGCCTGGCCCCGCCCTCGGGCTTAGCCCGGCGGAACTGGAGGAGACCCTGGCCTGGCCATGTCTACTCCCTGCGGCGTGTGCTGGGCTTTCCATCAAAGATGGCTGCACTGCCCCGCTGAGCCCCTCCTCTCGAGAGCCTCTCCTGCCACCTCCTCCCACAGCCAGTCTCTGCGGGGCTGTTTCCCCTCGCTGTATCCTGTCATGGTACCACGCCTGGTGTCTTTCTGCACACGAGTCCTGGCTGTGCCGCCAAGATGGGGGGCCCTTGGGGTCTTCCCTCTTTGCTACGGTGCTGGCCTGGCTGGATGGAAAAACAGTAGGAAAGGGTTTGCTCCTGAGAAGGGGGAAAAGCCTAGGACCCATCCTGGAGGTTAGAGGCCTCTGCACTCCCCAGGGGTTGACTGGCTTCTCCTTCCCGTGTGGCAGCTGCCTTGCCTCCTCAAGGAGCTGGTTGGTCAACCCAATCCCAGACCTCTGAGATGAGTCTGAGCAAATCTGATCTGGGTCCTGGCTTCCTGAGACAAGCTCCAGGCGGACCGCAGGTGGGAATGCCCGGCTCAGCTGGTCAGCCTTCTAGAGCAAAATTAGAAATGAAATGTCAGGGAGGAGGCAGAGGAGATGCACGGCCAACTCAAACACTCACATTTGCTCTTATGTAGCTAACCTCATGAACACACACATGGGACCCTGACACACACACACACACACACACACACACACACACACACACAGCAAAAGGAAGCAAGCATCTCCAGGTGGAGGTAATTAAACATTGATCTAAGTCCCTTCGAAGCCATAAGGCATAAGGCTTTGCTAAAGTCTCCATGGTGTCGTGATCAAATGAGAACCCTGACTTATCTGGAAAAACAAAAGCGCTGGAATAAACCTAAGTTTTGCTACAGAAAATATATACTAAGGAATATGTAACAGTGGCCTGGGTGTTAGAGAAGTTATTAAAGGAAAGCAGTCTATGTGTTTACCGTACTCTGGTCATTTCTACATGCTTACAAAAGGCGGGGGGCATTTGCCTTCGGAAACTGAGGAGATATGAATCTGCACACAGGAATCCAAATCCAGCATCAAAATATAAGAAATGAACATCATAGACAAATAAAGGAAAACCTAGCAAGAGACAATTGGGTCTGCTGCATTCGACTAAAATCCATTCACCTAGATTGCGATTGGTTCTTACCTTTGCCTCTGAAAGTTAATGACATGGAAATCACAGGCACTTCAAAGAACATGACTAACCACCCAATCATTAACATGCTCCCAGGATAGCTCTCTAAAGTACTCTTCTCTACGTTTACTCTTTTATATTTTTCTCTCCAAACCCTTGGTAGATATCAGAATTACTCCTTCACAGTTAAAATATGCCTCTGTGTTCAGAACAAAGTCTGATCTTGGGTTTTGATCTCTGTGCCCACAGTGGGAGTAAGTCTGTGTGAATCCAGGCAAGCTTTTTCATCTCTTTGGGCCTCAGTAAACAAAGGGGCTACAGCACTATTGCAGACAAAGCTGTATGAACAAAGATAGATCCAATGATGAAGAATAAATTCATCTGCAAAAAACTCCCATCACTGTTTCCAGGGCCCAGGGCCACCAATATTTCCACTGATTAAATTTCTCCTGAGGTTGCTATGTCCTAAAAGCCACGCTTCTCTCATCAATAATAATGTATTTTGCCAATTTGGGTTGGCAAAAAACATGCTGAACTCTGAAGCAGAAGTTCTGACTAGCAAGAGAAACCAGTGCCTCCATGAAAAATATGTTGTAATTCTAACCAAAAGTAATAATGTTTACGGTTTTAGTTATGGGTACTTGTATATTTCATATTTGGAAATAGTGTTTATAACTTCTAGAAATTGCCCTTCAACCCGTTATGACCTTCAGGAATCGTTTTGGGATCCAGGGACCTTAAATGGGAATTACTGTCTTTGGCAGTCTCTAAGGTTCCGGCATTCCGTGATACTTCACTTAAAAATTCTGGCTACCGTCAAAAGGAATGAGATCTTGCCATTTGCAATGATGTGGATGGAACTGGAGGGTGTTATGCTGAGTGAAATAAGTCAATCAGAGAAAGACATGTAGGGGCGCCTGGGTGGCTCAGTTGGTTAAGCGACTGCCTTCGGCTCGGGTCATGATCCTGGAGTCCCGGGATCGAGTCCCGCATCAGGCTCCCTGCTCGGCAGGGAGTCTGCTTCTCCCTCGGACCCTCCCCCCTCTTACATGCTCTCTCTTTCTCAAATAAATAAATAAATAAAATCTTTAAAAAAAAAAAAAAAGAAAGACATGTATCATATGACCTCATTGATATGAGGAATTCTTTTTTTTTTTTTTTACAAGAGAACAAATCTACACCTTTATTTACTTTTCATTAAATTTAAATCCTTGAGGGGTACAGCATCACACGGATTCTGTGGCCAATGGCTTTAGCAGGAAGGTTGCTTCGGAATTTGGCACGAACCATGCCACTATTTCCATGAGCACGAGTTACTTTTCCCCAGATTACTCTGGTTTTGTTTGGTTTGCCACCAAGAGTCACTGTGTTGTTCTTTGCTTTGTACACATAGCACATCTCTTGCTTAGATAGAATTCCGTTTCATCTCGAGCATAAACACCTTCGATTTTATTTTATTTTTTTTTTAAAGATTTTATTTATTTATTTGAGAGAGAGAGAGAATGAGAGATAGAGAGCACAAGAGGGAAGAGGGTCAGAGGGAGAAGCAGACTCCCCGCCGAGCAGGGAGTCCGATGTGGGACTTGATCCCGGGACTCCAGAATCATGACCCGAGCCGAAGGCAGTCGCTTAACCAACTGAGCCACCCAGGCGCCCCAAACACCTTCGATTTTAAGAAGAGCTGTGTGCTCCCTCTGGTTC